AAATGAAATATAAATTAAAAGTTGTAAAAATAAAATAATTTAATTAATTCAATATAAAAATATTTAGTTTCGGTTCTTGGTCTAGACTCGAGACCCGACCCAAACCAAATCTATCGGTTCTCGCTTCGGGTAGCCGTTCGTGTATTTAACTTATGAAGAACCACTCGACTTGGTTCGGTTCGGTTCGGTCGGGTTTGGTTCTGGACTTTTGGACACCCCTAATTGACGGTCTGTGTGTTGTGTGGTTTGAGTCCTGAAGTTATTTGGATTTATTATACCGATGGTTGAAGTGCCAAATTAAATGAGTTGGCGAATATTCTGAGATGTAAAGTGGGAAGTTTTGATCACTTACTTGGCGTGCCTTTGGAATTTAATTTTCCTCCTCAATCAAAATGTTAATCTAACAAAGTTGAATAACCATATTCCATTATTTCCTTACAAAACTTTTGATATAGTAAGAAACTTCTCAGGAAGTTCTGATCTCCTATCAGAATGAACAAGGTCATAAAAGTCATGGCATTATGATCCAAAACGAGCAAATAGGGAAACCAAGTATTGGAAGGGGTCATATGACATCCATTAAAATATTATTTCCAATGCATTTCTAGAAAGTGGGATTTGTACATATTTGAAATAATAGGAAAGATTTTATTATGAAACTATGTACTTGAGTGCCCTATAAAAGCAATTGAAAGAAAGTGTATGGTATTCCAATCTTTAGTCCCATTCTTGTTTTTAACTGTAAACAACTAAATATGATTTTCCTATAATTTTGATTTATCGATGGGATTTACATGAAATTATGAACTTGGAAATATGTGTTGTGATCTATGGCTTCAGCGACTGAATCTTGGGGTCATGGATGAAGAAATTGGAGATAGGTCAAGAAAGAAATGTAGGAAATAAACTGAGCGTACTGATTGAATTGTCGAAAGATGCATGAAGAGGCGATATTAATTCCTTTTATTATCTCAAATCAATATGGGAATTCCTATTTATAATCTCAAGCACCCTTGCAACATGATTATACACTATATGCTAAACTAAAATAACAACCTTCCAACATTTTTCTGTTCTCATAACCCTTGAAAATGTTGTCATTTTTCACCCACGTTAAGTTATAGCCAATTATTTATTAATTTCCCATTGCTGCAGAGCTAGTGTCTGATTGTTTGAAGTGTTGCTCTGAGGATTCTGATGATGCGACAAGCAAGGTATGTTACTGATGATAATCGGTATATAGTATCTTAGGACTAAATAGCGTGCTATAGAATTTGCTCTTCCGTATTGTCATCTATAAAAAGTTAAAAGAGGGTATTTTTAAAACACAGGAGGGTAAAAAACAAACACTGAGAATATTCATTTACCTACACCCTCCCCCTGAAAACCCGAAAGGTAAAATATAAAATCCCCCTCTATCTAAACTGCATTCGACCTGCAATTATACTCTACTTCTTTTCCTTTTTACCTCTCTCTTTCAATCCACGAACAGGATGGTCAGTTTTAGTTGGTGCCCATGACATTCTGGTAAAACTTAATCTCAACTGGAAGGAGTGAATGCATCAATAAAATGGGAAGGACATGGAAGGAAGGTAACTTTGTTGGAGGGTTGCGAGGTGTTACCTTGGGAGACTGAGAAAAATAACAGTCATACACAAATGGGGGTCCAGGAACGGGATATTCCATTTTGTATTTAATCTTTGCTAGTAGTTGATCATAATTGAATCTTGTGACTTAAGGTATTGGTCTAATGGTAATACCGTCTGAGATGATGCTATGCAATGCTCCACAAACATGCTCGAGAGCTGTTTATAATCGTTTTAAATTATAAATACATAGAAATGAGTGGTGGATAAATGGGTAGTACTTATGGGTCCTACGGAATATGTGGATAACAAGTGATTTGACCTATTATAAACATATTATAAACAGGTGCCAAACAGGAATAGTTTTTATTTTTCCCTTGCTCCCTTTCGTGCAGTTTGTCTATGCTGATTATTTCATTTCATTTCTTTTTAGGTCTACATGTTCATCTGAATGCATCAACAGTAATAATCTCTGTGCTATCTCTAATAAATTCGTCTAGTGACCTTTCTTAAATGTGCCTAAACCATGTTGATCGGTTCTCGCACAGTTTTATTTAACTGGAACCTCTTTCGTTAATCCATTTAATATCTTACACTAACATCTCTTATTTTACCCCAAAATTTGTTCTAACATTCTCGTATCTGCGACAGTCAACTTTTGTGAAGGTGATAGTCTAAGATTGTCTTCCTATAAATGTATTTATTTCTTTGGGTTCAACATTCTGTTACACTAAATATATCTGTTGGAATGTAAACTTGTAGCCAGCTTGTTTGTCTTGGTAAAATTCTTTATTGCTGTCTAAATTTCTGTTTTCACATTGCGGGGAATAAAAAATACATCAAATCTGAACGTTGTTGCAGATTATATATTCTGGTGCAATTTTGGAGGTTTGCATGAGGAAGCTGGTCTTTTATCCTGAAATTGTTGGTTTTATCGAGGAAGAGAAGGATAAATATCCTACCGTGAAAGTTCAGTATGCCTTTAATTCTCCACCAAAATTGATCATGTTGGATGACGACGGAAAACCGAAGGAAACTATCAGGTTGGCTTTATATTTATATTGTTNCCTACCGTGAAAGTTCAGTATGCCTTTAATTCTCCACCAAAACTGATCATGTTGGATGACGACGGAAAGCCGAAGGAATCCATCAGGTGGGCTTTATATTTATATTGTTTGAGTTGCTTATTTCCAAAACATGATGATATATTTGATAAGGTATACCAGACAACATTCATTCGAACGCTCGACACAGTGGTTCATAGCCATGCACTGTAATCCTTTGGGCTATAGCCCCCAGCCCATCTCCCTTGATTTGTTCCGGGGAGCACCCTTAGAAAAAAAAGGAACCCTTCATCTCGCCAGCCATTTAATTTCGGGTTAAGATGTGGAAGTGCATTTATCTCTATAAGAATGGTGCTTTCCAAGGTGTTGGGATGTCATAATTGGGGTTCTGGATAGACAGCCTTTTGATTTTATTTTTTGTTGCGAAAGGAATAAGAATTAGAGGTGAAGAAAAAAAGTTAAAATCTTTTCCGTCGTAAAAAAATGCGTACCATACATCCTGTAATGGAAATTTCCTTCAAAAATTGATATAGTGGATCAGCTTGACCTAATTTCGTTATACACGAGAGGATAACGACTTATTTAGGTGCAAACTTGTTACTTGCTTAATTTTGATTGCTGCTTCATTGCTGTCGCATTCGCTTTTCTTTGCTGATCTTCTGCAGAGTCGATAACTGGAAACGAGAACACATATTACAGTTTCTGAGGGAGAAGGTTAAACCATCATCAGATATTTAACTCAAGAAGTTAAATCCTTGCTTAATTGTTATCGAATGGAACAATGTACGGTGAAACAAAATCATAGGACATGGACACGCTCCTAAGATCACTTTTACTGTCTCAAGAGTCATTTTTTCAAGATTGAGGATTCATTTGACATCTCATGAAGAAGCTAGTTATTGTGCTTTTTCGTTACATGGACTAGTTGAGTTCGTTAAGAATATGTGCTATTTAATGTTATACAAAAGGCATGTACTTCTATTTATTTTTCATTCCTTCTGTTTTCCCTCGAGAGTATCTGGGTAGGGTCGGATATTTGAGTTGTGTTCGGTTCGACTGTAGAGGCGCGTGGCTCACTTGAGCAGCGCCTCTTTGCCCCACAAGGGGTCCTGCCATGTCAGAAAAAACAAATCTGTACTTGGAAATAGAAGACAAGTTCGGAAAATAGTCGGTAGAAACTAGGAAAAACCTATTTTTCTTAAAATAAGTTTTATGGACCTCATATTTGCTCGATTATCATGCGTTGTAATTCTATCTAATTGACACAAAGGGATTTCGAAAGTTATACCTCCTCCAGCAATTAGTTCTTGACATCAGATTCTAATTAAACGATCTCCAACCTTCCAACCCTTAGATTTTCTCAGCTATTCTCCAATATCGAGTTTCACTTGATGTGGAGAACCAAGAATCACTCATTAGTAAATCGAAGACCCTAAAGTTCATGAAAAGCAACAACTATTCCTTAGGTAATTCATAAATTACTGAAGTCATACTATAGATTTAAACTCTACACACGGTGGTCCGATCCAATACATTTTTAGATACACTAGTGACACTACTTTCGAGATCATCTCATCGTGATCAAGATAAATCACTTACCTCAATTGGTAGAGTACCTGACACGACAACCTTATTAGAACAAAGTTCCAACTTTTGTTCATTGATCTAGGACAATTAATTCTCAATCAATATACAAATAATGTCTATGTGTACTTCTCTAAGTAAGCACCCAAATTGTGTCTCACACATCGATCAAAGGCTCTTTACCATATGCTCAATAAAAAATGATGTTTGTTTAAAACTCAAGTAAATAATGAATATTTATTACATAACATTCAATGTTGTACATCGTCACCTCGGTGAAATCATGTTCAGCCCCAACCAACCCCGGTGTCAGGTTGGCATCTCCTTTTTATATTAGGAGATCTATTAAGACGCGCCCACATTATGTCATAGATATCGACAAGGAATTGAGTAAAAATGAACAAGTATCGATAAACGAAGAATTAAGTAATAAAGTCTTTTTTTCCGTGCTCGTGCTGGTTTCATTACAAATAAAAGGAAAAGTGCTTTCATGCATCAAATATTGTTGAACACAAAATCCTAAGTTGGTCAAATGATATATTAAACTCAAGCAATCCTCCTTAACTCAGTGCAATGAATAGAATTAATCCAATTAAATTCATACAATAACTATAGCAATTCAGTGTATTGTATAAAATCCAGCTAAACTCATACATTAACGGAAAAATTTCATTTCCAAGAGATTAAGGCACCGTTTGGTAACCATTATTCAAGAAGAAAATGCATTCTTT